GACTCTAAATAAAAAAGTTAATGCTACATGAAGTCAGAAATAAGACAGATAGGGAAAGAGAAGGGGAAAAAGTTATCATAGGCTGTTTCTTCTGTCAGTTTCCAGTTTTACTCCAATGTGGTGCGAGAGCTCACTTGGCAGGTTTCCATTTCTTTGGATGTGCAAAGGTCTTTATTGTCACTATCAGCATGGTCTACATTGAACAAAAAAAGTCCAAGGCTAGGGAAATCTATGAAGACAGAGTGAATGATTCTCAGTGAGTTCCTAGATTTAACAGGGAGATGAGAGCTAGTGGATGGAATTTTTTTTTTTAAATAAATTAATTCAGTATTAGGGTCTCATTAGGCAGCTTGGAAGGGTAGTGATCCTCCTGTTTCAGCCTCCCCAGTGCTGGCATTACAGGAGTGTGCCATCACATCCGGTTTTGGTGGCTGGCACGTCACACCCTGGTCCTGGGGCTGGCACATCATGCAGTACCGGGGCTCGAACCCGTGTCCGTATGCTTGTCAGGCAGGCTCTTAGCTGGAGCTATCTCCCCAGCCCTGGACTGTTTTGCTTTGGGAGAACAACAATGATCTCAATGTGATTGTGGTTCAACTCTGTCAATATGCTAACATCCACTGAATCATTTACTTAAGTTTGTAAACTGCAATGTATGCAAATTTTTGTTCCACAAAGCTGTTATTTAAAACAATAAAATGAAAAGGTTCCCATCTAGAACTTTATTGCATTCCTACATCCTTTTTCTTACCCTCTTCTCCCCCCTCTCACAGGTAATGAAATTGCCAGACCATCACTGGGAGCCAAAGAGCATTTTACTCAGTACACACCCTCCACACACACACACAGTTCACCACGTTGTCCCCAAGTGTCCTAGACAGGGCCAAGAGAAGAGTGAAGCAGGCCTAACTACTATTGAACTTCACATTCTCTGTCTTTTCTGCAAGGGCTTGTTTCCTTTTCACACGAACACTTTAACCTTGTAGCCAAGTTGAAGAGCAGGAAGATGAAAGGTTTACTTAGAAATCAAGGTGCAATAAGGCAGGAAACCAGCATGTTTGCATGCAGATTACCAACACCCCCCAACTCAGTACTGTGGATTGAACCCAAGGCCTTCAAACTGAGCTACATCCCAGTCTTTTTTTTTTTTTTTTTTCTTTTGTATTTTAGGGAAAGGTCTACAGGGTGTTCAGGGTCTCACTACTAGATTGGACTGATAGTGATCCGCCTGTTTACAGCCTCCCAAGTGCTGGGATTACAGGCACACTCACCAGCACACCCAGTCTCAATTGCTGTCTCAGCATGCCCCTGGGGTGGTGGGGCTGGCACAGCAGGCCTGGGGATTGAACCCCTAGTCCCTGCATCTGCTTGCAGGTGCTTTAATCCACTGAGCTATTTGGCCAGCCCTCCCAGTCTCTTTAATTAAAAAAAAAAATCATTTATTTATTTGGTAAAGGGTCTTGCTATGTAGATCAGACTCATAGTGATTCTCCTGTCTCAGCCTTCTTGGCACTGGGATTACAGGTGTCTGCCACCATGTCCAGTTTTGGTGGCAGGCACTGGGGCCCACATGACGTGTGGTACTGGGGATTTGACTGGGGTCCTTGCACTTGTTAAGCTGGTTCTTAGACTGCTGAACTATCTTCCCAGCCCAAATTGTTCTGAGAGAAGATCGCCTGAATTGCTACATTGCCCAGGATGTGCTTGAACTTGCCATCAACCTGCCTCACCCTCCCAGAGTGCTGGGATGGGGTGTTTGCTGCCACACATGGTCTCCCCTCTCCTTTCCTCCCAGCCTGTCTTGACAGGGTCTGTGTATTTCAGGCTGCTCTTGAATTCATGGTGATCCCTGTAGCTCTTCCTTGCTAGTGCGAGTACTGGGATTATAGGCATCATGCCTGGCTACTTCTCCATTTTTATATGAGGATTCTTCAATACAAAGCAGGCGTTTTCTTTGACAGTGTCCTTTTGTACACCCTCCCTGAGACTTGAAATAGAAAGGAGACTGATATTGGTCACCTCTGAGACTTGGTCAGTTCCCATGCAGGAAGAGTTTGCTAAGCGGCAGATGCTATCTTTTCAATCCTCACCCAGCACACAGTGTGGGGGTGGGGTCTGTAGGTCACCCGATTCAAGGTAGTCACTGGGATGGCAAAAGTCTTATTTACTATGTTTGGAGCCTTGCTGGAGTGGAGAGTGGGCATAGAATATGCTGGACATTAAGGGTGTCCTTCACTGTAAACTTTTCTCTTTAGTACACTAAAGAGAGATTTAGGTCAATGTATTTCGTTCCTATGTATTTCTGTTTGCGTATAAGATTTGAGCCACCTGAGCAAGTTAGAGAGCTGGGTGCAGAATACCTACCACTCCAGGGACCCTAAGACATCCTGGGTACCTAGCTAGACCTCCTGATGGGACTGAAACTCGGGTACGGCCAACGCAGGCTTCTGTTTGGGTATAAAATGAACTGAGTAACATAAATAGTATTTAGTGTAATATTTAATATTTAAAAAATATGGATATCCTGTCATCTGAAAATGTAGCATTTTTATTTCTAAAACATTGCATTAAAATATTTCATTTTAGGGGCCAGGGAGATGGCTCAGCAGAAGAAGCACTTCCCTGGCAAGCGCAAGGGCCTGAGTTCAATTCCCAGTTAAAAAAAAAAAAAAAAAAAAAGTAAAATATTTCACTTGATTAATGAGTTTAAAGTTTGCTCGTTGGAAAATTACCTCACAGGTCTCATTTTAGTTCTGCCCCTCCTTACCAAATACATTTTCAAAGTTCAAGCCCCATGAACCATTACCTTTTACTACATGCCCTGGGATGGGGGAAAAAGTTTAATTAGAATTGAATTGTACTGGGGGTGATGGCACACGCCCTGCAGCCTGGGCTCCATAGACAGTTCAAGGCCAGCCTGAACTACATCCTGAGACCCTCTCAAGAAACAAAAAAAAAGAACTGTGGAACTGAGTAGCAAAGGAGAAAAATTCCAGTGATCACAGAAATGCAAATTTGCGAGGAATGAGGTAGTCCTGCTTGCGTTTCGTCAAACTCATTATTTTAACATTTACAGTTGGGGAAGTGGCCACGAAGGCCACACTTTTAAAGGCTTTTTACATGTGAAAGATCACAGCTGTCCCCAGGATTGCATTTTGCACCATCTCTACCCAGCTGCCCAAAGCACTGGGTAGGCTCCAAGAAGTACATATTTGTAAGCCCCGCGGGAATGACCGCAGGCATAAACTTTTCGGGCTCCTCTGGGGCTAGAGGATTTGCCTCAATGGCCTTGGGACCCTCCTGGTCATTTTGGGGACCTGCATGCTGCACCTGACAACCTGTTGTTTCAGGGAACTTCTTTCTTAGCCTTTAAGTCTTTAAAGCCAGAGACAAGGATAACCTTTTCCTACTACTTTTAAATTTCGGTCCACATTAATCAAACCTTCCAGGTAAACACTCAACTCACCGCGACCCCACTAACTCTCCGATTTGAACTGGTGTAGGGGTGAGGGTGGCGGTTTTCTCTTCGCAGTCGCACAGCCCGGGCTCCAGGTCCCCCTTCCCCACGCGGTCCCCGCCCTCCCCGGTTCTCGGATCCCGGCGCAGGGCCGCCCCTCGCGCGGCCGCCTTCCCGTCCTGATTCCCGGCGGAGAGCAGCCCAGGCTCGCCCTAAGAGGACAGCCACAGCCGCCGCCGCCGCTCCGGACAAGAGTTGAAAGGTCACGAAGGAAATTAACGCGGACGCAGCCCCTGCCCCCGCGGGCCGCGCCCGGCTTTCCCGCGGTCTGCGCGGGTCGCAGCCAAGGGCCCCTAGGGGGCGCAGGCGGGTCCGGCTTGATCGCGGGAGTCACTACCCGGTAAAAACAAACGAGTCGCACAGGCGAGCGGGTCCCGGGCTTCGACCCACCTACCACTTGTCAACAGGTTCTCGCACCAGAGAAGTCCCGGACGCACCCCAGCGGGGACACTGTCCCCCCAAAAGGAACAGAACCTCGATCGCCTCGGGCTCGCCCCTCCCCCGCCGCGGGCGCCGCGCGTCCCGGGACGGTGACGGACAGGCCCGGCTCCGCAGGCCGCTGCGCCCGCACGGCCCGGGCTGGGCTCCTGTAAGCTCGGAGAGTTCGGGGGCGGGGTGACCCCCGCTGCCTCTCTGTCCCTGGCTCTACACGCCGTGCCGGCCCCGGGCCCTCGGGTGGAGATCGGCACGGCGAAGCCCCGCGCAGCCGCGTCCCTCCCCGGGTCCCCGAGCGGCTCCCCGACCGCCGCCGCCGCGACCAGGGCAGGCCGGCCCCGCTCTGCCCTTCTCTCCCCGGCTCTCGGCTTACTTTTCCCGTATTGCTCCCCCAACCGGTAAAAACTTTCTATTTCCCCAAACACTGGCGCGCGCGCGGGCGCGCGCCTGCACACACACACACACACACACACACACACACACACACACCCCACACACTGACGTCTTTTGCGCATTTCCTGCATTGGAGGGAGGGAGGCTCGATCGCACACCGACCAGGGCAGGAGACCGCGGGGACCGCGGGGACAGCGGGCGGCGAGCGAGCGGCCGCCGAGAGCCCGGACGCGGGGAGCGCGGCGGGCGGC